TTCCCATAGCACAGGTAGGAAAATTGAGGCAGGGAGGGTTGCTGGGACTCAGGGAGAGGGAGAAGGTGGCAGTGAACCTGTCCTGGCTGCACCACCACTGCTAAGCCATAGGGAAAGTCACTTGACAACCAAGTGTGAGGCCCCTGTGCAGACCACCCCCATGAGATAGGGGTCAGCATCTCCCTGCCTGGTTGGGGGGACAATCCTGGGGTGCCCGAGAGCGCACCGGCTCCAGGTTTTGCTCCTCCAGACACAGGCTCATGCCGACCACCAGTATCCGTGGGCGTACACCACAGGACATGGCACATTATCCTGCCACATACCCATGCCACGTTCCCACCAGGGCAGCCCTGCCATCACTCGGGTGGCTCTTCCTCCAGCCAGAGACCACCAGGGCTGGAAACAGGGACTGCGACACACAGCATTGACACCGGGGACCTGATGCATCCCCTGCTGCGTCCCTCGCTCCTGCTGCCCAGCCAGGGCTCTCACTCTGCAACCGTTGGCCCTGGGGATGCCCCGCAGGGTGCTCTGCCCCCAACCAAGCCACTCTCAGCTGCACCCCAGCAGCCCTTCCCTCGTGCTCCATACCGCGCCGACATCACCCCGGCCATCAATAGCGCTTGGTTAATTAATTTGATGGGAACAGCAGGGACTGCACTTTGCATTTAGTGAACTTCTGAGAACTTCCAACCTCATCTTCATAATTGGTCTCATAAATTTGAGGAAAGAGAGAAATCAGCAAAGCCAAAGGAGCACGGGAGGCGGGAGAGGCCCTGCACGCGGGAGGGCGGGCGCGTGAGAAGTGACTCTATTTGGTGTCCTTATTTAATTTTATTGCACAGATCCATCTTCGCCTGCCCCCTCCTTGCCTAGCCCTCTCTCTCCCGCTCTCCCTGCTGGGTTCACCTAATCATGATAAATTCATATTCATTTCCCTGCCTGCTCCGGTGGGGGTGCAGCTCCCTTACGTTCGCCCGGCCGTGCTACCATTAGCAAATATTTACTCATGAATATGAAGTGCCAATGTTAGGAGCCAAACCACCCACTCTGCACCCCTTTTCCCCCAGCTCTGGCACCCTCCCATCCCTGCACAAGGACAAACATGTCCCACAGGGCAGGGACCAGAGCGGGAAGAGCTGCCTAACACTCAGAGCTGCAGCCACTTGGCCCAGGCTTTTTCTTCCTTTTACCCTGGGTGGGCAGAGAGATGCTTGATAAGGGGACAGGAATTGCCTGAGTCCCCAGCCTGGAATCACTCTGAGGGTGCAGAGATGGTGGGGTGGGAGCGAGGGGCTCTGCAGCAGGAGCTGAGCGCCCGTCCCGGCTCCTCGACTTCCCACTCAGTCTCTAAGTGCTGCTGCATTTGGGTTTATTTTTAATTTTCAGGATGATCAGACTCACAGCCAGGGAGGGCAGGAAGGGGGTGTGCTGGGGAGGGGGAATAGCTGAAGCCCCTTCCTGGGAAGCAGGAATCAGGCAACACATCATTAGAGATGCCTAAAACCATCTTTGCTCACCCTGTCTGCACCCATCCTGGGGACTCAGCACCCACCTCCTCCCAGGCACCCCATCTCTTGTACCTTCTTCACAAGCGTGGCCTTCCAGGGTTTAGAAGAGGCAGAAGGTGTGTTGGAGTAAGGGGGCAGCCAGGTCCTGCTCTGCTGCAAGGGCAAAAGAGGGGTCTTGGATGAGCATGTGGCCTCAGGGGATACTGGGCTGGAGGTAGCCCTGTCTTGGTGTCTGCAAGGGACTGGGAGGACAGAGGGCAGGATTAGGGGCACAAAGAGGAGGCTGTGTGGGGCAGCTCTGTCCCCTCCATCCAGGGCAGGAAGGACTGCCCAGCCCCAGGGCTGACTCCCAGTGGGCAGCACAGTCCAGCCCCTCGTATCTCTTCCCTGGTACCAGGATGAGGGAGAAGCAGGAGCCTTCAGCATCCAGAAATCTCACCCCCAGCTACTTTGGACGAGCTCCTTGCCCTGCTCCTTCACCTCTTGCCGCTTTGCATTCACCGCAGCCGCACCCAGGGGAGATGGTCCCCATCCATCCTTGGCACATCTGGCTGCAGCTGGCCACAGGAGGGCCCTCTGTCCCCTCCAAAGCTCCTGGGCAGGGATTTGTGGGGTGGGAGGGGACAGACAAGACATCAGGCCCCTTCCCTCACAGAGCCGGAGGCTGGTAGGCCTTCTCCCCAGCAGCCTCCACACGACATGGATGCACCAGGGCCACCCTCACTGCCATTTCCCAAGGGGCTGGCAAACAGTCCTGCTCCTGAGCAGCCCCAACTCCACACATCCCCGTGTCTGGCTTCCCCCCGAGTAAAAGCAGTACAAACAGCAGGGTCAGGGCTTTGATGCGCTGCTGCAGCACCCATTTGCACCAGGGTGTGAATTGTGGCCCTGGAGAGGGAGGGGTGACAAAGGGGAAGGAGCTGGGGACCAGCAGTGCCACATCTCCCACACCTCCAGTGATGTCCCGAGCACATGGCACTGGTAAGAGGGGCAGCCTCAGCCCTCCAGGAGCAGCTCGCCCCGGCATCCAGAGCTGGAAGCAAACCTGTGTTCATCAAGGGGCCAAGGTGAGCAGCCCTATACTCCGCTCCCTGCCCCAGCTCAGGCAGAAATAGGCCCGTGCCCAGGGCTGTCAGCCATAAGGCTATAGGATAAACCCTCCAGGATCATCCTAGCAGCAGTGGAGGGAGAGGGAGCCCCCATCCAGCCCCCCTTTGGGGCAGGACTATCCCCAGCCCTGGACAAGGCCAGCTGTTGCCCTGCCCAGCCAAGCCTGGCTGACCCCAAGGATGGGGACCCCCTCCTCTCTGGGGCTGGTCCCTGGGCTGCACAGATCTCCTGGGGAGAGAGTGCTCCCCTGGGCCTCCCAAGCCCTGGTCTGAGGCTGACTCCCCATTGCTCCAGTCCTCACCGGCTCTGCCCCAGCTTCTGTCTGCCCCAGCAGCTCCTGTCCCTCTCCAGCTTCTCCATCTCCCTTTTGAGCCAATCATTCTTGCTTCTCATCTCCACGTGCTCCCTTGGCTTCCAGGCTGTTCAGATTCCCCTTGGACAACGAAAGCATTTCCATGCTCTGGAGACTGAGCTGTGTTCTGGGCACAGAACAGGAGGCAGAGCAGCAGCCAGCTCCCAGATATGCTACTGTTTGATGAATATAGAAAAGCTGACAGCAATCCCTTCCTAACTCCACACCTGAAGTAAGAGCTCAGCCCAAGGCTCAGAGCTCAGGAATTGCTCCTTTCTCTGGGCAACGGTCAGCCGTAGCTCAGCCACGTGGTCAGCTCAATGCCAGGACAGAGCCAGGACCCACTCTGCCATGCGAGGATGGTGGCCAGCAACTCCCTACCCTGACAGCCAGAAGTGGTGATCCAACAGCACGAGGGTCTCCACTGCCTTCTCCCTGCCTGTACTGAAAACAGGGAAATGGGCCAGCACAGGAAGGGCTCCTGTCCACCAGAGGGAAGAATCCCAGCAGTTACAGGGCAGAAAGCAGACAGAGAGGCCAAGGAAAAAGAGAGGAGGGATTTATTATACTTCAGATTTCAAAGCACCAAGACACGCCAGAAGACATTCATTTCCACCAGGTGTTCAGTAGAAAGGTTGGGCTGACAAATGACACTGCTGGGGTCAAGACCTCCCCAGCGAACACCCCAGCCCCACTGCTGATGCCCAGTAGCCACAGCTGATGGTGCAGCAAGAAACTGTGCAAACCCATCAGGTTTAATGCCCTTGTCCCTGTCCTACCAGCAAAGACACAGCTTGTCACCGCATGTGACGAAGACACAGCAGAGTGCAGAGTGGGGGTGGCTGCATCCCCCACAAGACAAGGGAGCAGGAGGCCAGGTCAGGCCCAGAAAGTGACCAGAGGGAACCCAGGGTCCCGGTACAGAAACGCCCACCATGGCGTTCCTGGCAGCCGATGCCACAGAGCAGCACCTCTGCCAGGAGGAACCACTGCAATACCTGTAACGGAGACAGAGCACTGAATGTCTTAGGGAAATTCATCTCCAGAACATAAAGTAGTTGAGGTTTCCTGAGAAATAAAATTCATTCCCATGGAACTGATGGGACCAGCCACATGTACGTGCATACACAAACACACACACACACTCCCAAAGAGCAGATGACTCCATGGCTTCCACACAAACAAAATGGGAAAGCTTTGCTTCACCCAAACTAGAACTAAACTATCTCCTTGTGTTTCTCTCTGCCTCCGTGCCTCCTATGCACAAACACACAGCCCTGCCGGGTTACATTCAGTGCCATTACATTCAAATCCTTCCTGAGCACAGCTCCCCGAGCTGTCAGGTCTGCTCCTCTCCCACACTGAGAGGAAAGGAGCGCCCTTGGGGCCAGACCAGGGGGATCACAGCTCTCTGCACTGGCGGATCCTCAGCACACAGCAGGCTGAGAGCAAGCAGGCACAACACATTGGGTCCCTACGCCTCCTTCAAGGCTTACTCGGCACCAGGGGAAGGTGGTGGCAGTTGCAGCAGCCCGGCCCCGTGCAGCAAGACCCATCAGAGGACACAGTCAGCTCAGATGGAGGAAGGACGCAGCAGCAGCAGCAGCACAGGGGGACCCTTTGTGATTCCCGCAGTAGCAGCTGCCAGCAGTAGTGAGAAGGGGGAAGGCCTGTTCCAGGACCAGGCCAGACCCCTGCTGCCTTCATGCACAGCTCAGGACAGAGATTTTGGGGTGTCTGTGCTCAGACACAGAGGAAGATGCATCCCACTTCCTCCATTCCCAAGCACTGGGAGGGACTGATCACAAGGCTCTGCAGCCCAGCCTTCTGAAGCTTCCCTGGGGAGAGCACGGCTAGGATGGGCAGTGAGCCCTTCTGGTAGCCAGCAGCTGCCTGTGGCATCAGGCAGCACTTCCAGCGTGGTTCCAGCCCATGGCCTCTGCTGGGTGAAGCCACACAGCTCTGCCAACAGCAGGGTGTCACATTTGCAAGGATCCCCAGTTTGCTGGGATATGTTCTCCAATCTGCAGTCACCACAGAGCAGCACTCAGGAAAACAGCACCCTTCAAAACAGCAGCACGGCAGTGGGCCCAGGGTGCTGGGTGACAGCCGGGTGTCACCAGTCCCGTTCTGAGGGCTCCCGGTAAGGCAGCCCCAGCTGAATGAAGACATCTCTCTCAGTGGGAGTGGGCAGAATATGACCAGATGCCACCTTGATGCCTCCAGGGCCTCGCACCACAGCTGAGCTGAGGGCATGCTCCGATAGGCTCATGCCCTTGGTCTTGGCCAGGGCCCGCATGGAGCGGTTGAAGTGAGCCGAGCCGGTGAAGTAGAGCAGGGCACAGGCGAACTCACTGTAAGGCACCACGATGATGTCAAGCCGGCGGTGACGCTGGGCTGGCCCAGGGAGACGGCACACCCCCAGGTACTTCTTCTGATCGCCGTTGTCCTCCTGACTCACCAGGTCATCTGTAAGGAAGCCTGGGGAGAGAACACAGGCAGAGAAGAGCTGAATGGTAGAGACTGACACCCCCAACCCAAACTCCCCACTGTCCAGACAGCAGTTGAGGTGTCTTGTAATGTGCTGTGGGACCCAAAGGACAACTCAGCCTCAGCCCTGACAGCCTCATGTAGACAGGAGAAGCCATACTGAGCTGCAGCAATACTCCCTCCTTAACACTGGCTGCGGAGCTGCCACTGAAGCAGGGTCAGGACCATGGGCAGTAGACTCAAGGACTTACGAGATGTCTCATCCTCGGGAAAAGCGATCACCTGCCCTTCAATGAATGCCATTCACCTTATTGTCTCCTCGGCTTGGCCATGCTAAGAACAGCTTTAAGCACCACGTGCCAGCCCCCAACCCTCTTACCGCTCCTGTGGAGGCTGTCAAGCAGCTTGCTGAACACCCCACGGTGAGACTGCCCATCTGGGTGAGTGACGAGCACATCCACGTCTCCACAGGTGGGCTTCCCTCGACGGTAGGAGCCACATGCCACACACACAAGCCCAGGCTTCACGGCCAGGGCAGCTTGTCTGACCTCCAAGAAGAGAAAGAGGGATGAGGAGTCAGAGACCAGCCTCTTCATGCGCTTTCCATCAAGGCAGCAAAGGATCTTGTGCCAGCCTTGCAGCTTGTCCTGCATCTCCAGGGCCTCCATACAGAGCAGACACTTGGCAGGCGTGGCAAACTGCCCCACCAAGCAAGCTGGCCTGCTGTCAGCAGCCACACGAGCCGGAGTGGTGTTCACCCATTCCTGTAAACAGCCAGCACACTGCTACACAATACAATGATCTACCATGGCGCTACCATCAGTCACCAGCTCTTGGGCACACTGGGCTGGAACTGGGTTGGGACAAGCAGAACGATGCAGCAATGCTGAGGAGGCAAAGTACAGCACAACCTTTCAGAGCCTTTGGTTTCTAAGACAGCAGGAGAGAAGGGGTTTTTCAGCTCTCCTGTTGGCCAGGAGGGCAAAGCTCACCAGCTCTGCCCACAAAGAAAATCAGTTCAACACGAGGTGGTCACAGGTCCTGTTTCAGAAGCAGAGACGGGCTCATGGAGAGCCTCCCCAGCAGGTCCCAAGACAGCAGAAAATCTGCAAGTGTCCCTTGGAGTCCACTCCTGCCAAGAAGCTCTGCCCTTGCAGGAGAACTGGGCTTCCTGACCCGGAAAAAACACAAATGTCCCAGCATTTTAGACTGAATGGATGCCAACATGCTGCTGCCAGCAATCAGATACATATCATCAGAACTTCCCCTAATGCAGCCACCTCCAGGCTGGACCCCAGCTCCTGTTTTGTGCAGACAGTGCCAATTCTGATGGCTTCATTCATTAAATGCTTAAGAAAGGCTCCCAAGTCCTTGGACAGGAGTAAAGTATTCTTGGTCTGATTGTGCCAATCACCCTGCTGGCAGCAAATAATTAGGGGCTCAGCAATTCCCAGTGACGAGGCTACCACAGAGGCTGGGGTTCAGGAAGGCAGTGTCCATGCCCACAGCCCCTTGTCACTCTTGGGGATCATCCTTCATTAGCAAGAGATAAACCCATTAACCTTTGCCCCAGAGGTGCTCCAAGAAGCCACAAGCCTTTCTCATGCGGAGCAAGCCCTCCTCTGGTGTCCTTGCCCCCCTTCTGGCTTTAAATGAAGATTTCTAGAAAACTCCCAGCCCCACCCGAGAGCCTAAAAGCTCCTCAGATCTCACTGTGACAGGCAGCACAGACAGTGACTAATCCCTCATTCTCTCTCCTGGGCCTGGATCAGAGGTGTGTGCGTGTGTATGGAGGGGAGCACAGTAATCTCATCAAGATAACAATAGACCCACCCCCAACAGCCAGCTCCTCGACCCAGCCTGCCTGGGAAAGGGACCACTCACCACCAAAATGGCTAATCCGGCACACGGGACTGACACCCCAGCAGGAGCCTGGCAGGAGTGTATTCTTCGTGGCCAGGCCCTGTGGCCGAGTGACAGGGTCACGCTGGTTGCTGCTTCCATGGTGATCAGAGAGCACAGGGGTAGCAATGACAGTGTGTGTCCCAAGCGCTCTGCTCACATTAGGGTACACTGGTTTAGCACCCCATAATCCTGGAGTGCCACGGCGTACTAGAGCAAGTAGCACCCATCCACAACCTGGATCCCTTTTGCTTCCAGCAAGGATATCCACGGTCTGTCCTTCCACTGACAACCAGATCATAGGGTGCTCACAGCTTCTTTTGGAGAAGCAGCATGAGGGAGACAGCTCGGGGGCCTCAGCTAAAAGCAGATATCTCAGAGAAGATGAGAGGCAGGAAAGAGGAGCTGGGAACCTGCTCATCCCACCATGCCACATGCAGCCTTTTTCAAACCAGTGTGTAGAACTGACAACTGTGAAGTATCCTCCTCCTTGCCAGGCACTCAGACTGAACCTTCCTACAGGGCAAAGTAGTTGCCTTGCATGCCCATGGCCAAAAAGGGTCCCCCAAGCACTGCCCCTGCTTAGAGGAGAGGCTGAAGAGCTTCAGCTATAACAGTGAGGGACATTTCCACAGTATGCACCCTTCTGTCAGTTCCCAGCAGGTACTCCACTCTGAGGGCCCGGGCTCAAGCTACTCACAGTCTGTTCTATTTCTGCAGCTTCCTCCCGAGGCATGCGCTCCAGGAAATCCGTGTAGTGCTTCAGCCCCACAGCTTGCTGGCTGGTAAGAGTCGCCTTGGTGCGGATATCATCCAGCGTCCGGAAACCCTAGTGCAGACCACGTGACGATATTCAAACATCTACCAAGACTTTGCTCTTCAAATACTTTCAACTAAGATTTGAGGAGACCGTATTTAACCCGTCTCAAGTCCAGGTCAGTCACAGCTTCTGAGATCATATGTAGAGATAACTTAGGGCCTGGTTCCTAAAAGAAGGGATTTAGGCAATCCCACTACCCACACACACCTCTAATCTCCACCCCACCACGACTGTGAATCTTAACTAAACCTGACAGAAGGCTACTGTTCTTAAGGCACTGAGTTCCTACAGCTTGAAGCAAAACAAGTAATGCAGGTAAAGGAACAACACCCAGAATATCCCAATGAGGGAAGGCCTACAGCATGAACACAACCATATTTTTAAGACAGCAAAGAATCCAGTCACAAACAAAACACTACAGGAAACCAGGCTTCATTAGCTCTGTGCTCAGGAGACAAACTGTTTTAAAGAAGGAATCCAACCAGTAGGCTGGGTTGCTCCTGTTGGCACAACTAGTTCAACCTCATTTCTACAACTTCCAGACAAGGTGGATGGCTGCTCTGAGAGCTACAGGAGCCAGCCAGGCCAACAACTGGATCAGGAGCTTTCATGGCCAAGAAGTCCTGTTTCAAGCCTGGTTCTTAGCAGTGTCATTGCCATGAGCAGTGTAAGATGAGCTCCAAGCAGTGATGCTAACGGAAGAGGCAGTGTGGGCAGTGTGTTCCCCACTCCTCGTATCACACATCTTTTTCCTCTACCCCCAACCAAGCTCAAGTCTCAGCCGGGTGCACTCCATTCTCCCCAAACACACCCACAACGGAACCCAGTCTCATTGCTCCTCCCATAAAATCAGATTCAAATCCTATCTGTGGATAGTAGCAATTGGAAACTATTTGTGAAAGTAATTCTCCTACGCTCAGCAGCAGTCTCCAAACCACAGTCTTGGAACCTCTTGTGTGAGGCACTAAACTTACCTGCTGATACCACATCTGAGCTGTCTTGACCCCTGCTCCCCAGATGTTGGAAAACAACTCCAGCACAGGCACACTCTCACTGATGTGATCCAGCTTGCGCAGGTGTCCACTCTCCAAGATCTCCAGTATCTTCTCTGCCATCCGCTTCCCAATCCCCGGGATTTTACAGGCTTCCTAGCAAGAAATCAGAGCTGCTACTGGAAAAGTGAAGATCACAGACACGTTCGCGACCTGCTGCCCGCTCAGAGCCTGGTTAGCAATTTGATCAGTGATTGGTAAGTGGCAGGACTAGTTCTGTCTCCTCTCCAGCCCAGGCTTACATAGGCTACATCGATTCAATGCCAACTGGAACAGTACAAGCATGCAGAACAGGACTGAAACACTAGCACACTGAATGGCTGGACTGTCACAGTCAGTCAGGCTTTCATCCAGTTATTTTACATATTATCTCGAATGGTGGCCAGCTGCTGCTGCTTAAAAGCAAGGTGAAAATGTCTCTGCATTGTGCCTGGGGAAGGCATTTGTCTCATGAGTGCTCAAATCTGGCCCTAAAAGGCTTGGGCTCCACTTTTCTGCTGTTCTGAAAACACTGCATGTGGACAATGAATCCTAACTTGCACTTGCTACGCAACTTCCATCAAAGTCACCACACAGGAAGGAATTCCCAAGGCTTGAAGATAAGCTATTCCATGTACAGAAAGAGGAAGGGATCTGGCTCATAACAGACCTAGGAAGCTAGGTTTATCTCCCTGCTCCATCACCCTGGGAAGGTGTTTTACCTGGTAGGAGGTAACTGGTTTGTGGTAGCTCTTGAGCGCATTGATGGCTTTGGAGTAGCCCAGGGCTCTCCACTTGTCCCCCTGGACAGAGTAGGCCTTTGCTAGCACTTCCAGCTTCTCCGTGATGCATTGGTTGTGATTCTCCTTCTTGCTGTTGGAGGACTGAGCACAAACCCACTTGCTGGCAGGCTGGGCCACTGTGGAAGAGCTGTCACTGGTCTCCTCTGATGATTTCACAGGGTAGTGGCCAGAAATCAATGCTTCCAGATCTCCCTGGGTGACACTAGCATCTTCTCCTTCGCTGTCTTCATCATCAGAGTCTTTCTTTAGGGAGAGGTAGAAAAGCAGCCATATGAAAATACAGGCATGCCTCACATATTTCCCCTTAGCAAAGACTGCTCCTGAGAGTAGGAAGTCAGCGCACTAACCAACCTCCAGGGCATGCAGCGCTCAAACTGCCATCTCTAGAAGCGGTTGGTTATATGCACACCATAGCTCTTCACGCCTCAAGCTACACATACACCCCATGAAGCTACATGCACCTCTCACAAAGCACAGGAGACTGGAGACTGCTGCCCACCTGTGATCCAAGCACACATGCACCTCCTACAGCCAAGCCCCTGAGACCTAACTGAGGTACGACACTGGTTAAGCAAGCAACTGCTGCCAGCAGTATGGTATGACAACGCTGAAATCCCTGGCTGGGGGAGATGCTGACTCCCTACTCCCACTGGGAAACCTGTGGCAGGTCTGGTGGCTGCACAGACACATCTCTCACATTCAGACTCTGCACCTTTCTCCCCATGATGTAGATGACAGGAGATAGGCATTGAACTCTGTTTTCACGTTAGGGACACAAAAATCTTAACAGGGTAGTAAATTACAACTCCCTCATTTTCCCCATGGCTATCTGCAAGAGAAAAGCGGGAGGAAGGAATGACACAAAAGACTCCACATTCCTCAGTGACAGGAGAAAGAAACAATGTATACATTTGCTGATACCCTCAGCATTAGGATGCCTCTGTGTAGACTTAAGAAACAATAAGCCTTGGCTTCAGGTAACGAACAAAAGGGGATAAAAGTGGGAAGCCGTACAGAGGCTTTGTAGACTACTTTGCTCACTGGGGTCCCCCTCTCTCCTGATGTACAAACACAGGAGTCCACAAAGATCCAAGAGCTTCTGTGCTGTGGAAGTAACCCTGAGAGGCACAGGGCTGTTTAGGATCAGTCCAGCAATTACATGTGGCACACAAGTCCTCTTAGGAGTTTCTGCAGAGCGTGAGCCTAACCAAGTCAGAGCCATATCCTTACAACCTCTGGTTCTGCCTGCTAAGGAGGTCTGGAGGCACAATTCCGGCCAGATACAGAGCTGAAGTCTTTAGGCAGAAGAGGCAGGATGTCTCCCTTTCGTAATCTTGTTTTATAACTCTGAAAACTGGGTCAGACTGAGGATTTGATAGACTAAAGCAGTTTTATTTGCCTTGAAACGCAAGTCCCTTAAGACACTGTTCTCTCTAAGGGCAGCAAAGCCTCCGAGTGTTCAGATCAGTTAGTAAGCCCCTTAAAAGCATTTAAGGAGCATGTTATCCAACCACAACGCAAAGAACTCTGCAGCTGGAGTGTGCAATTCCCATCCTCTTGGCCAGCAGTGTCACATAGGTGAAACAGCAAATAAACCCCCGACTCCCTGTGCTTCACCAACAAAGCTGATGGACTCTTTACAACCATAAGTGCAAAACCAACTAGGATCCTACAGCAGCTGACTTGCTAGAGCTGGGCGCGACTGGGATGTGCATGGTTTGTCTGGAGCACAGCATAGGAGCCAGGATAGCAGTTGAAGCCCAGTAGCTGAGGCAATATGCCACTTGAGAGGGAGGCAGGCAGCCTGGGGTAACAGCCCCAGGGCTCAGCCGGGAAATAACTGGCACCACTTGCAAAGGCTGCCTTGCAGAAAACTACCGCATCCAGATGCCAGTCACAAAGCAGTTGCTACCCTCTGACTGGTAACAGGGTTTCCTCACAGGAGTTTACGTCCAAACACAGAACTCCCAGAGCAGCCGCTGTTCAGTATGAACACTGGCACACTCATCACCCCCCAGCAAAAAAACATCCACCGAAGTTAGAAAAGATTCTGTGCTTAAATGGAGGCTTCTTCTAAGCCAAGAGTTCAGCTTCAGTTTTACTGTTGTAGTTGGGTCTCAAAAGTGGTTGGTACTGTCTTTAAAGTATATCCTGTGGGTGCTCCTCTCCTCCCCAAACTCACATAGTCCTAAGCTTGGGACAAGGGCTTTTACTGAAGTGTCTATAAATACTGCTTTTGTGCACTGACTAACAGGAAACATTGCTTGAGGGGATTTAAAAAAGGCAATAAGACTTCAGACTCTAGCAGTTGTCTGACCACGCAAAGTATATGTGAGTAGAAAGCAGGGCAGATACCACAGGATCCGTAACAGTACAAAAGACCCTTTCTCCCATTAAGCGTGAGATTTGTTAATAATGATTGCCACTAAATTAGAGTTACAAGAAACAGCAAAGATGGGGTAGCTCCTAAGGTGATGCAGTTAAGAAGCAGCTAACTCTGCCTATAGCACACTGGATAGTAAGTCTGGGGAGAAAAGACACCCCCTCCTACACATATTCAAGAGAAAGCTTAAAACAAAGGAGCCCTCAGTGGGCTGCCAGTCAGGGAGTAACTATAGGGTTTTGTGAAAATTTGGGACTGTGCTAGAAAACAAATGCCAGCATTACAAGGCAGTTACTTCTCTAAGAGGTCTAGGGTAACTTTGCTACAGATAGATTTGAATGATGCCAATGCCCAAAAAGAATTCAGTAAACTTGAGCAAAAATACACAGAAAGGAAAGAAAGCTAACAGCAGGTCCAAGAAGCTGACTCACAGCAGAGGCCACTAATAACCCAACACAGATATTTTAAGCACACCACCACAATCGTTCAAGTGGCAACCTGATCCACTGCACATGTGGCTGAACAGGGTGCTTGCCAAGGAGAGGAGAATGGGTCAGTATGGCTCAGGCAGGAATACGGGATGAAATATCAGAGACAGTTTCCTGAAAGGGAGATATTCTCAGCCAGGGAATATTCCTCAAAAGGACACAGGGGAAACATGATCACCAGTGAGCCTTGGCCTGATCAGAGCACCAGGATTGCTTCAGCTGGAAATGTTCTGATGGGGACAGGAATTTAAGGGGTGTAGTTTCTACTTTTAACACCTAAAAGGGACAAACAGAAGCAGTAATCGTGTCCACAGCATGCATCTGCCAGGACCAACCCACTGAAACACCCAAATGCCTTCCCTTTGCTGAGAAAATCTGCCATTGTATCCCTACAGGGATGCTCTTAGCCAGGAAAAACAGCATGCAGGGTCTGTTCACAAGGAGAAGGGCTTGTGCGGGAAGCCTCACCTCAGCCAGCTGCTGCTGTCCAAGGATGCCCAGGCCTCGCTGTGAAGAATTCTCCACCTGTGCTTCAATACTTGGTTTCACTGCTCCCTCCTCTGCTGGGGGCTGGATCTCTTCACTGCCCAGGACCTGCTGCTGCTTCTCTTTCTGCAGCTGTCCCTCCTCCAGGTACCTGCCATGGATCAGATGCCTTAGTATAGGAGAAGGAGTACTTCTCAGCCCCCAGAAGTTTGACTGAGAAATCCTTCTGCATATTTTGGGATGGAGCAAACAACCCATATGAATTGTACTCTCTCAGATCACAGATTAATTACTCTGGTCTTGGCTCAATTCCCCAATTTCCAACCATCTCACCAATCTGCAACTTCCACTCCTATCTACCTCACTCTTAGACTCTTTCTCCAAAATTTTGCCAAAACATTTTGATCCTAACCTGTGGCTGTCTGCTGCTCCATTCCTTATTTCCTCTTGTGCCTAGCTGTCAATTCTCTCTCTACTGTTCATATGCAATAAGTAAGAAACAACATTTAATCCTCAGTATTTTTAAAAGAAAACTCCTTGTTATCACTAATGGACTAGGAAGAGGTACCCTTAGCACCTGTAGCAAATGATAAGACTCCTACTATCACTTCTGGGCTCTACTACATGTTTTGCTGCCCCAGAACAGCAACTGGTCACAAAGTCACTAAATTTCACAGTCTGTATAGGGAAAAGTGACTTCGAGTCATGCCCACAGGAGCTGCAAGGAGTTACAGTCCAAGATTTTGAGCAGAGGTCAAATTTTAATGCTGTTCAGTTTAGGATAGAAGCGCTGTAGGGAGGAATGACAGCATGGCATTTGCATACCTGTGAGGGATAAAGACACCGTAGCCAGCGGTGCTCAGCAGCTTCTGGTCTCTAATGCAAGCACTTAGCCAGGATGCTTTCACTAGCTGCAACCTTGAAGGTAGCTTGGTTAATTTAAGGAGCCGAAATGCCCGGTCACAGTTCATGTCTTCAGCCACAATGACGTGCGTCACCTCTGAGGAGAGCTGGTTGTGTACAACACCCCCATTCTGGACAATCTCCTTGTGGAAGATCTCTGCTCTGGCTTGGCCAATGCCAGCTTGCAACACAAAGGCAGTGACTGGTTTCAGCCACTCTGCTGAGAAAAACACAGCGGCAGGAGCTCAGTGACAAGAGAAACCATCCCAAACCAACAGGGCTACATATCTCACATAGGATTTGATGGCACCAACAGTGGCAGAGAGTCTTTAGGAGGCACCAGCTGGACAGAAAAAGGCAAGTTGGCCATGATCTCTACAGAAAACACACTCAGGGGACAGAAAAAGCTTTGGGGGAACAGCACCTCCAGTTAACAAGATGGGGTAGGACTATTACGTTCCATGTCATGGGCATGCAGGACTTACCCTCAGGTATCCTCGTTCCTTCCTCTTTTGGGATCTTTGGAGGGACACTTCGCCCTGAGTCATCCCTCACCTTCTTCCTCTTGGGAAAGGCTTTGACAATCCCTTGTGGCTCCATAGGCCTGGAGGGAAGTTTAGGTGCACTTGCTGAATGTCAGTAAGAAAGAGGGAGGTTGCTTAGAACAGTGTTACACAATCACAACTTAAGATTCACTCATTTTGCTCACTGTCTTTGTTGGTTTGGAGCTCTTTTGTTGTTGTTGCCTTCCAAAAACACTTGCCCTGAGGGAGGCACCTGGAAACAAGAACCGCAGCCCACAAGGTCATAAAAAGTTAGAAACCACCAAAAAGCCACTTAAGAAGACCCTGCTTGAATACCTTAGAAACCACTAAAGCTGAGTTCTTGTAATAGAAAGCGTTCAACTACTTTAACAGTTTGGAGCTCCTTCCTGCCCAGACAACAGAAGCAACTTTATTTCCCAGATATGTCTTAAGCATATTCCCAAGAGGGAAATGCCTCTCCTGTCAGGGCTGAAATCCAGTCACTGACGAGAAGAGATAAAGCAGCTGACTGACACCAAGTGTTTCATACAGCCACAGGAGGAAAACTGCCAACCCCACTTCAGCTGGAAACAGCAAATTAGTAAATTAACTAGCCATGTTCAATATGGGTACAACCGTAGCTTTACCATCACAAGCCTTGCAAAACTGAACTTGAGAGCTTTAACTACCTGCCCAGGCTACCAGGAAGTTTGGCTTTCCGTAGCCCAAACAAACCCCCGAATTGCTGTATATCCCAACAGCCCTTTCCACCTGGCTGCAGCGTTAAGTCAACACCAACTTGGTTTCCTCTCTGTGCAGCACTTTGTGTTTTGCTCAGAGGTTTCTCACACACGCCAGTACAAACCTATCACACAGGCCTGGAAGATCCAAAAATGGTCCCACCGGGCTGCGTCTTCTCGCTACAGCCACATTCTCAGCTAAGCATTAAACACAATCCTCTGGAAGACCAACCCAAAGCTACACTCCAGTCCTTGCTTCTGCGAGGAAGAGTTCAGCTTCAGAGGAAAAGAAACCCTGCTACATTTCTAAAACTCAGCTTCACAGAAACGTTTCTGTTTTCAGGACATTTTGACCAAAAAAGCCCTCTGAAAACAGTAATACTTTCTATTAGAAAAACAAAACCAAAACCAAAAACAACCCACGCAAAAAAATTCCAAGCTTCGAGGTGCCTACGTTCTTTTCAGGGCTTAGAAGAGTGTTTTCCCAAGTAGTATTTTAGCTCATCTAAGACAAATCACGCA